TTTTTTTTTTTTTTTTTTTTTTTTTTGTACTGGGGATTGAATTTGGGACTTTGCACTTGTGAGGAAGGGGGCAGAACCACTGAGCTAAACCCCTGGCCCCTTTCATTGCTTTTTAAAGCTTGGATCCCTCACCCCACCTAGGGTTCCTCAGACCAGACCTTTTAGAGCTTTCAAAGATAACATACAGCCCACTGTGGCACATGTGCAGAAGGTTCACCACCACTACCTCAGACCCTTCCTAAGTTTCAGAGTACTACCCAGCCCCCCGGGACTTGGCATGTCCTCCTAGTTAAGTCATATTCTCCCCCCAGCCGAGTCATATGTTCCTAAATCTCTGCCAACCCAAGACCCTTCCACCTTCCCTGCAAGGCCTGGGGTCCCTCCCCAAATTCTCTCCAGACTCGGATTTGGGAACCCTCACCCCATCCTCCTTCCACAAACAGACTCAAGATGAACAGGCCTGGGTTCAGATCTTCACTCCTTTTCTTCCTAGCAGTGTGTTTTACCTTGCTCCTCTGGGCTTCAGTTTCCAGGTCTGTAAACTCGGGCTTCTGCAATACCTTTGAGCCCAAAAGGTTATCTCACAAGGACAAGTTTTGGTGGCATGTGGTGAGCACTCAGAACCTTTCTGCTCACAGTCTCCTGACCCTGGCCTTCTCCCTCGTCTCTCTCCCCCACCTCTCCCTTCCCTGCAGCCATATGCTTAGCAGGCTGCAGCCCCGAGCACGGCTTCTGTGAGCAGCCCGATGAGTGCCAGTGCCTGGAGGGCTGGACTGGGCCCCTCTGCACTGTTCCTGTCTCAACCAGCAGCTGCCTTGGACCCCGGGGCCCACCCTCTGTTACCGATGGATGCCTCGCACCTGGGCCTGGACCTTGTGACGGGAACCCGTGTGCCAACGGGGGCAGCTGCAGTGTCAGTATCCCCTCTCCTGCTTTGTCCTGAGCTCCCAGTTCCCTGGGGATCCCTGAGACACTGCCTTGCGGGGTGCGTCTGGGATTAGCTATCAAGGAAGACTTCTCAAAGGTGGCCAGCCTGCATGTGGGGACTTGAAGTAGGATTCGGTGATGGAGATGAGACTCAGGAGCAAAGACTGGGTGGGCGGCACTGGAAGGTGCTAGAGGGGGAACGAGGAGCCTTTTGCTGCTTCCCAAGGGAGGGCTGGGGAGGGGATGTGGTGGAGACATCAGAGGCTTCCTGGGGTGGGCCCGGCCACTGGGGTTTGTGCAGCCTAGATCCAGGCCTGCCAAGTAGAATTTGTCTACATGGCCAGCTCCAGGAAGGCAGGCAAGCAGGTGGCATTAGGTTGGTACAGGCCAGCCGTGGGGGCGGCCTTTCTACTCCTGAACCTCCTCTCTGCAGGTCAGTTACTGTGCAGAGGAGGATCTTGGAGTGGGGCAAGGGGCGGCCCAGGAGGAGTCCAGACAAAGCCCCTGCACACTGGGATTTGGGGTTAAAACCTGGCTTGGGGGGAGGATGGGCTTTTGCTCCAAGGAAATGCCTGTCCCAAACCCTCTTGCCCCTGCCCAGGAGACGCCCAGCTCCTTTGAGTGCGCCTGTCCCCAGGGCTTCTATGGGTTACGGTGTGAGGTGAGCGGTGTGACCTGTGCCGACGGACCTTGCTTCAATGGCGGCTTGTGTGTTGGGGGCGCCGATCCGGACTCTGCCTACATCTGCCACTGCCCACCCGGCTTCCAAGGCTCCAACTGTGAGAAGAGGGTAGACCGGTGCAGCCTGCAGCCCTGTCAGAATGGTGAGGCCGGGAGGCCAGAGCAGTGAGGGGTGCGGGTGGGAGGCTTTTTTGCATGTGGGAGTCCTGGCTTTCCACCCCTCCTTTCTCTGCCTAGCCCATTTGTTCTGTAAAGTGGATAGAGGATGCTCCCTACCTTGTAAGTATTTACTGAGCATTTACCGTGTGACAGGTCTTAACCTAGGCGCTGCAAGGAATGAGACAGAAAAATCCCTGCCCTCTTGCGGCAGAGATGGTGGGAATGTGCCTGGTGTGCTCTGGGTCAGCAGGGAGGCCAGTGTGGCTGGAGCAGAGGGCGGGGGAGAGACGGAGAGATGAGGTCAGGCATGTGGCAGGGCAGATCCTGCGGGACTTTTTTTGGTACTGGGGATTGAACTCAGGTCCTTGTGCTTGTGATGCAGGTGGTGGCACCACTGAGCTAAATCCCTGGTCCTGCTGCAGGACTCTTGTTTTCACCCAAAGAGAAATGGAGACATAGGGAGGTTCTGAGCAGAGGAAGGGCTGATCTTGCATAGGAGTTGAAAGATTAAATGAGATCTTAAACGCTAAAGGCTTGGCCCAGTCGTGCAAGTGGATGTAATGATTCCCCACTCACAGAGTGCTCTCTCTGGGCTGACTGGTACTGGGGACATAGCAGTGACCAGGTCATCTGCAGACCCTGCCCTCCTCGGGGTGCCAGCAGCTACCTTTGCCCCACGGCTCATCGCCTGCCCATCCTTAGAGCCCAAAACGGGCAGGGCTGTGAGGGGGGAGCCACAGGGCAAATGGGCATGGCCGGCGCAGTCGGGGATGGGATGGAAGAAAAGTCAAGTAGACTTCTTGGAGGAAAGGGCATCTATGTAGACTTGAAGGGTGAACTAGTCAAGACAGAAGGTGTTGAAAAGACGAAGGAAAGGAGGGGTGCAGTCTAGGGCAAAAGCCAAGTAGTTCAAAGACGTAGTTCTGGAAGCTGTTAACTGTTAGTATGATTGAAGGCAAGAGAAAGAGCCAGAGAGGTGACGCAGAATGACTTAAAGATTTCATCAGGTAGGGCCGGGGATTGAGCTCAGTGGTTCCAGTGCCTGCCTCACAAGTGCAAGGACCCAGGAAAACTCTTGAGTTGGAGAGTGGGGACCTCGGGCGGGGACCCCAGGGCTCCAAACGGGCGGAGGGGCGCCTCTAACGCCCCCATCCCCACAGGCGGGCTTTGCCTGGACCTGGGCCACGCGCTGCGCTGCCGCTGCAGA